CAGAAAGGCTGATCCAGAGAGTGTAGCCAAACAAATGCGAAAAGCACGAAGAACCGATGGCTCCTTATTGTCAAAATCGAATGAATATCTAACGTCAAAACAAATCGCAGGATTTTTCTCTCGATTGTCTTCAAAGAAATCTCTTCACACCACACCTATCGAGAATGATGGTGATGAAAATGATGACGACCTGGAAGATCTTCTAACTGAAATGAATGAACGAGAATTGGAAGAAATGCATGAGGAAGTAATGAATGAGATGCTATCAAAACACCCTCTAACATATGACAGTTTCAATATCTGCGAAATGGCGAAATCCTCCACTCTATCAAAATTCACCATTCAAATGCTGCATGACATCTGTGAACATTTTGAAATCGACATTTCAGCCATACAGCAAAGACGTAGAAGTCCATATGTGGATTTGTTGATGAATTTAGTCAAGTCATGCAGTTGTGAAGGAAACTGAATAGCTAGAATTTTTTTTTCTATAAGTGAACTGTATGATCAAATATATCTTGTCACTAAATTTCGCGCCAAAACGCATTGGCTACAGCCCATAAAAATAGCTGGAGACCATTTTGGGCCAAAAAGCCCATGAAAATGGCCTGTTCGGTCCAAAAAGCACGGGTTATAGTCTTTGAAAATACCCAAACTCGGTTTTAGTCCAAAGCATTGGCTATAGCCCACGAAAATGGCCACATTGGCCAAAATGTGGCCACAATTTTTGGCCAAAACCATGAGTTATAACTCATGAAAATGAACAAATTCGATCATTTTTAATATTAAAATATTTTGTATATGCACGTCAGTTTTCTAAACTGTAACATTATAAACAAATAATATGAAGTACAAATATATCATGAATTACTGGGCTACCTGTGTCTAATTGCGTATTCAGTGTGACAGTTTCCCGAACATGAAGTGACAAGCTTGTTTCCTGGGCTAAAATATCATCGAATTTTCGCTGTTTTCCTCATCCAAAGGTAAGAATTAATTAAGAACTTATATTTTACGGGTTTGCAAAAGATTGTTAACGATTTTTGTGCCAATTATTTGGCTCGACAGTGTTACATCCATTGTTTGGCCGCTTCCGCCAAAGGTCAAGTTTATGTGACATATGAGAGCTTAATTCGCGTACTTCAAAACAATTGCCCAAAGATTTGATTCAAACTTCTTAAAGTACATTGTTAGAACTACAAAATATCCAGATTTCATGAGCTTTAAAGGTTTCGCAAATTCGCAGTTAGCCAGTTTGTTCACCCTACTTTTTGCGACTTAAAATACATCTTCAATATGTTTTAATCCGTTAACCACGCTCAAAGTCACGCTATTCATAAACAAAGTGTGGTGKTACAAAGGCTCAAAGGTATTTTTCTGTTTGCGTTACTTGGTGTTTATATAGAGCTTCATAAAGTCGAGCCAAAATCGACAGCGAATATCGACATTTCGATTTTCTCAGTTTTATTGCAAAATTGAAGCAAACCAAATACATAGGGATTCTTAGGAAACATTCCTCTACCTACCTACAAAATATGAGCKAAATCGATTTTTCAGCCGTTGCCAACATTTGTTCGATCTTTACGGACATCCACTCTTAACATGCCAAATGGGAATTGTATGCCAAGTAGCCATGAGCACCATCTACAGTGGGAGAACTACATTGCTCTGGTTGAAAGAATCATTTCATCTGCGATTCCCTGCCTCGACTTCCTCCAACAATATGCTCTAAAGCACATCCCTCACCAATATTCAAAGGAAATGGCCCAAAAATCTGACATGGTAAATATTGAGTAAGAGTGTACTACAGCCTATGCTCATCATTTAAAATATTGTGAACAAAAAACTTAATTTTTGTTTAATTAGGTGACTAAATGAACAAAGCTTGAGTTGTAAAGTATGAATTGCAAGGAATCATGCATTTTCATTTAGTCACCTTATTCTTTATATTACACAAATGTGTTTTGAGCAATTTCTATCAGTGTTTGTACAAATTCTTATATTTATTGTGTTTTTATGTTTATTTATTACCTGTTTTATTATTTCTATTGTTGAGCTTTTTTATTTCATACTTTTAAATTGCACTACTTTACAAAACTCTGACATGGTAAAAAAATTGATGATGTGAAAAATTCATTGAGGAAAGGAAATAATATATGCTGGAGTTTAAGTAGTAATCTAACATAAAACTTAAAAAAATATATTTTTTTATTTTATCAACAGACATTCCTTGGTATGATTTATAAAAACGAAAACAGTTAAGATGGCATTCATGAAGTATTGAAAGAACTCCACAAGTATATTCCGTGTTACGATGGACCTGAGGATGGTGAGAAGGTTTATGTAACACAAGGTGTAGTAGCTGATCAACTTTCCGTAGAACGATGTGTGAATTGCCTTTTTGAGGTATCCAACGGATTTACACCACAGGAAAAACTAGAAGGATTACACTTGGAAGTAGCTGATTAGCATGCTGGTAATAAATTCTTAAAGGTGAGCTTTTTGTTGATTGGTCAGGTTTGTAGTGTTCTAAAAAAATTAAAAACCTCATACATAATTAATGAGTTATTAGGCCAATAGAACAAGTCTATTTAGTCACATACATGGACCTTTATATCTGATAAAGGTCATCCTTATTAGTATTCTTTATATAAAGAATACAGCAAAAATTATGAGAATTGTCTAAATATCTAAATATCATAATATCCATATCCATATATTGTCCGGAACAAGCGAGTTTGCTAGAATAATTCATTGTCGACATCGAGAAAATGTTCAGAACTGCGGATAAGTCTGTCGCCAAAAAAACCCTAAACTACAAAGACAAAGGACTAAGGGCATCGCGCGGGATWACCCATCATGCACTCGATATTATGATATTTAGATATTTCAACAATTCTCATAATTTTTGCAAAAGGCTGTACATAAAAAAATAAAAATAAATGAAAATAAGAGAAAAAATGAAAATAAATTAAGAATAGAAATAGAACAAATAAAAATGAATATATATACACCTACTTGCAAAATCGTTGTCATATAGAAAATGGGATATTTGTATTTAGTAAAAAGGAATAAATTAAAAAGATAAAAGAAGATCATTGAGGCTGAACGCTCTCTTTTGTCTTGTTTTAATTTATTCCCTTTTACTAAATGTAAATGTTCTATTTTCTATGACAACATTTCTGCAAGTAGGTGTATATTAAATAAATAATACCAGAAAAGACTCTTACTGTATGTGAGACACTTTTACTAAATAATACATTTGTTATAAAGCATGTAGGTACTATTACTAAACCAGAACAATACACAGTGATTTGATTGTTACAGTCTCTGGGGTATTGTTTATTGGCTCAGATAAACTGTTCTCATTCAGGGATAATGGCTATTAGCAACTAATTAATAGTGCCTACTTGTTAGTACTTTTTAGTTTGTATTTCATGGCTCAAGTGATTCTTCTCTAATTACAAAGTTTTATAACAATATTTAGAAACAATAAAACAATAATAACTATTTTCATATACATATATTTAAAATTTAACATAGTACAAAAATCTAAAGTACACAGGGTAATCCATGGAAAAAGAAAAAAAAATATTTTCAGTGTGCTTTAGCCTCAGAAATCATATGGTGCATTTATCTATTGTAACGTTTTGTTGTGATCCTTTTTTTCCTTTACTTTATCACGATCAGAAACCAGAACTATACACTAAGAACCCGAACTTTACACTCGACTAACTCAAAACACTGACTCGGTCCAGCCTTCTGCGGACACTATTACACTATCCCCCTCTGAGAGAAGGGCACGTCCCGTGTCCTTATTACAAACAAGTCAAAATTTATAGTCCTTAGCCCACACAGGGGGTTTTCTTAGTCTTGCCGGGCGTCTTTCATCTTTGCGAACTAGGCTAGGTTCCGTGGTCTCTGGTCTTTCATGACATTCGTCAGGTGTCTTTTTCGAAGAAGGTCTTCCGAGGCTGTCCGTTGTAACTGGCTGGACTTCTTCAACGTCGTCTAACCAAGTTGGTGTCTTCTCCCCATGGTAGGGCCGGAGACGATCATGATGAATGATTCTTGATTTGGATCGAGGACTCTTCTGGATCTTGTACACAACATCACTAATCCTCTTCATAACAAGATATGGGCCCTCCCACGGAAGCTGTAAGCAAGGGGAAACTCCCTTCTTCCTTTTTGGGTTGTAAAACCAAACTGGTGCCCCTCGATCATACGTTTTCTGATTAAGTCGTTGATTGTACTTTCTCTTCTGCCTGTCACTTTGGATTGTTAAGTGCTCTCTTGCGTAGCCATGCANTAAGGTCCACAAATGCAATATATACTGGTTCTTTTGATCTCTTTGCATTCTCAAGAAGCTGACGTAGTATAAATATGGCGTCAGAAGTCGATCTGTTTGCTCGGAAACCAAATTGAGATTGTAATAGGATGTATTCATACGCTTCTCTGATTCTTTCGACAATTATACCAGAAAGAACTTTGGATATGGTGGCTATTATACTGAGCCCTCTGTAGTTCTCTGCCATCGATTTTGGGCCCTTCTTATGTAGGCATGTAATGCTAGCTGTTAACCATTTTGCTGGTACTTGGACGTATGCCCAGATCAAGCCGATGAGTAGTACAATATAGTTGTGTAGACCCGATGACCAAGAGTACTTCAATTGCTCTGCATAGATCTKATCTGTTCCTWKACATTTACCGTTCTTTAGTTTCTTTATACAGCTTACCACTTCTCCGCATTCTGGCACTGATTCATCAATTGCCGGGGTGYCATCTGGTGGTATTATATGAGGGTATCTCTTTGGTTGTTCTAGTTCGGGTTGTGGTTCATATTTACGGTCACTGAAGTGAGTGGAAAAATGTTCCTCTAATTTCTGTGTTGGGACTAATGGTCTGTTAAAGCGTTGTGTTGACGTATACTCTCTCATCTTACGGAACTCTTGTTCTGTGTCTCTTTGCTCGCTTGCAARATTAAGTTGGTCAGCMTTGATGCTATAATAGGCATTCTTTAACTTCGTCCGCATTTTCCTTGTCTCATAGAACATTGTTTTTCTCTTTTTGGGATCCTTCTCCGACAGGAATTTCTGAGTGAGCTCTTGATAAGTTGGGTTTGTCCATGGCTTATCCAATTCTATCTTGTTTCTAGATGGTATCATTTCTTGGGATGCCTGTAGAATTGCCTCCACTATCTGATCTTCTACTATATCTAGTTCCCTTCTATTTCCGTTGGTTTCCAAAAGCAAAGCATCTAGCTTTGCACTGTATTTTCCTTGAAGTTCGGGGTCATCCCTTAACTTTCTGATATCTGGGCGCGAGGAAGGAGGCCTGGGTTTTCTGAAGATCTTGCGCACTTCTTTTCGGGATGGGAATGCAGCAGTCATGACCACGATACGATGGTCTGAGTCAAACACTTGACTCTGCATCGGGTAGACTCGGCAGTTAGTTGTCGCGCGCTTCACGTACCAGTCAGCTAGAATGTAATCCAACCTGCGCTTATATCCAAGGTTAAAGTGAAAAGACCATCTATGTTCGTCCGATCGAGTTGCAAACATAGTGTKTAARATATATAGATTGTTGTACTCAGCAGTTTCAAGGAGTTTGGTGCCATTAAAGCTGGTGGGATCTTCGTCATGGTACGGTCCAAATAGCATGGTTACAATCTTGCCCAATGGTAGCATTGAAGTCTCCAGCTGCAATGATCTTAAAGGAGGGATGTTCTTTCATCATCTGCTGAATTGCCCTGTGTAATTTGCGGTAGAAATCGTCTTTTGCAGAGGTGCTGTGTTCCTCAGTAGGACAATAGCAAGAGTATATCACCAGTTTTACCCCATTCACCTTCACTCTAACCATAGTTAACCTGCCCTCYATTATAYRCACAATATCCAAGAGTCGAACATGTGGTGCCATGGCGATAGCCACTCCTGCACGCGCTATATTCATGCCATTATATACAACATGCCACCCATTCAGCACAGGGTCATCGAAACGTATCTCACCCTCGCCTCTTAYACGAGTCTCCTGCATACATACTATATCTTGCTCTAGGTTTTTATATTGAGTAACACAGTCTGCTAATTTACTCTCACATTTGCATGTGCGGACATTAATTRTCCCCAATCGAAACAAATGATAACCTTGTTTCGGACTCATGTTGATTAAAGAGGTATAAAAGTGCAAAAGTGCAAAAATGAGCAAAAATGCAAAAATGCAAAAAACAGTAATAAATGCCTTTTAAATCGAATTTCAGATTGGAAGAGGCTACTTCACAGCCTGATGCCAGTGCTCCGTTCGCTCACMCAGTCGCAAGACCAGGATCCCCGGGGTGTACCTGTCCTCTGACGGAGGTGGAGCTGGCTTGAGTGTGAGAGGCGATTAGATCTACGTAGGACTTATCAATGCCTTGTAGACCTAGCAGTATAACTGAAAGTTGCGCATCACACAATTTACACCCCATGGTGAATAATTCTTGCTTTGGATCGAGGACTCTTCTTGATCTTGTACACAACATCACTAATCCTCTTCAGAACAAGAGACGGGCCTTCCCACGGAAGCTGTAAGCAAGGGGAAACTCCCTTCTTCCCTACTTTCCAAGTAGGATCTGTTCCATAAGACGCTCAAAGGGGAAGGGGAAACTCCCTTCTTCCTTTTTGGGTTGTAAAACTAAACTGGTGCCCCTCGATCATACGTTTTCTGATTAAGTCGTTGATTGTACTTTCTCTTCTGCCTGTCACTTTGGATTGTTAARTGYTCTCTTGCGTAGCCATGCAMCTTACGGATCTTATCCTGTAARGAACGTGCRTAGTCGCARGTGTCCGTAAGATCTTTTTCCGACTTAGGAACACCAAACATGAGATCTACRGGAAGTCGGATTTCCCTACCGAACATCAACTCGCTTGGGGAACAACCAGTCGTCTCATGYACAGATGAGCGGTAAGCCATCATAAGCAAGGGTAAGTGRCAATCCCAGTCAYTAACATTGTCCTTGACAAACTTTGAAAGCATGTTCTTTAGGGTCCGATTAAACCTCTCTACCATTCCATCAGATTGGGGTCTGAGGGGAGTTGTTCTTGTTTTGTCTAAACCAAGGATGTTCAAAACCTCCTTGAAAAGGGAAGACTCGAAATTGCGCCCCTGGTCGGAGTGAATTTCCATAGGGACCCCATAACGAGAGATAAATTCTTCTGTCAGAACACGAGCTACTGTTACTGCCTCTTGATTTGGGATTGCGCATGCCTCTGTCCACTTTGTAAAGTAGTCACTGATAACCAGAATRTACTTGTTCCCTCGATCTGACTCCGAAAGCGGCCCTGTGATATCTACTGCAATCCTTTCAAACGGTGCACCAACATTGTACGTTTTCATTCCAGCTTTAGGCTTCCCTGGGGGTCCAGCTCGCTTCGAACAGGTGTCACAGCACTGACACCATCGACGCACGTCTTGGGAGTACCCTGTCCAGTAAAAGCGATCCTTCACTTTTTCAAATGTCTTCTTAGAACCGAGATGACCAGCAGTTAGAGTGTTATGTAACTGTGTTAAAACTTCTTGTCTGTAGGGTGGTGGTAGCACCAATTGTAGAGAGATGTCTCCAGTCTCGGACTCCCATTGCCTGTACAGTATGCTATCCTTAAGTATCAGTCTATCCCATTGGGCCCAGTACGATTTAAACGACGGGCTCTTGCAAGAAATGTCACACCAGTTAGGAAGGCTTTCGTTCTTTTCCTTTAGTTGGATTATTGTTCCAATAGAATTTTCTGCCCTTTGTTCTTTACATAAATCCTTCACTRACCATTGCTGTAACCAGACTGCTGGTGTCTCGTCTGGATGCGATTCCGTGACGGAGTTACATGATAACGCTTCATCCTTGTCTCTTCGTTCTTCTCTCGCTTCTTCTTTTGAGCACTTTCGACACTCGCCACATGGCCTCCGAGACGGGCCATCTGCATTGCCGTGAAAGCGACCCTTGCGAAATTCAATCTCAAACTCGTACATTGAAAGTTCTTCAAGCCAACGAGCCATTTGACCATCCGGGTTCCGGAAGTCCATAAGCCATTGAAGTGCGCCATGATCAGTGCGGATTCGAAAACGCTTACCRAGGAGGTAATGATGGAAGTTCCGGATTGCCAAGATCGCCGCCAACAATTCTCGCCTGGTAACGCAGTAATTCCTTTCGCTCTTTGACAATGTTCTACTGAAGTAGGCGACGACCTTTTCCTCCCCACCAGACACCTGGGAAAGAACAGCACCCACCCCACTATTGCTGGCATCTGTATCCAAGATAAACTCCTCATCAACCCTCGGAAACGCTAAGATTGGGGAAGCTGTTAAACACTTCTTGAGTCTGGCAAAAGATCGTTCACAGTCTTCAGACCACACATAAGAAGCGCCCTTCTCCTGGAGCTTGTACAGAGGCTTGGCCACATCAGCAAATCCCCTTACGAATCGTCGATAGTAGCTGCATAGGCCCAGAAAGGACCTCAGATCTGTGACATTAGTTGGGACGGGCCAATCAGAGATAGCTGCGACCTTGAGTGGGTCAGTGGAAACTCCCTCCTGGCTGATCACGTGGCCAAGATACTTTACTTCACTCTGGAAAAGGCTACACTTCTTTGGACTTAACTTTAGTTGAGCATCTCGTAGACGGAACAGGACTGTGCGTAGCCGAGCAAGCATCTCTTCAAAGGTTTTAGCATAAACAATCACGTCGTCTAAGTAAATCAGTAGGATCTCCCATGGCAGGCCAAGTAGGATCTGTTCCATAAGACGCTCAAAGGTGGCCGGCGCGTTGCACAGACCGAAGGGCATCACCTTGAACTGATATAGCCCACCCGCGCCGGTAGTGAAAGCTGTCTTGGGACGGTCCTCCTCCGCCACCTCCACTTGCCAGTATCCACTAGAGAGATCCAAGGTGGAAAACCAGCGAGATCCTACAAGGGCATCCAGGGTGTCATCGATGCGAGGAAGGGGATATGAATCCTTTATGGTAACTGCGTTAAGTCTTCGGTAGTCCAAGCAGAAACGAGTGGATCCATCAGGCTTCTTGACTAATACTATTGGGGAGGCCCATGGGCTACAGGAAGGCTCGATTATTCCCCTATCTAGCATTTTCGTCACCTCTTGCTGTGCTTCCTGTCTCTTATGCAGAGGTAGACGCCTTGCTTGTTGTTTTATCGGCAGGGAATCACCAGTGTTGATTCTATGAGTGACAATGTTCGTGCGACCAATATCCTCTGGGCTTGAGGAGAAAACATCACCAAACTCCTTCAAGAGTGAGCTCACATCTCTTTGCTGTTTCTCATCGAGTATTTTACAACTTCNTGCGGATTCGAAAACGCTTACCGAGGAGGTAATGATGGAAGTTCCGGATTGCCAAGATCGCCGCCAACAATTCTCGCCTGGTAACGCAGTAATTCCTTTCGCTCTTTGACAATGTTCTACTGAAGTAGGCGACGACCTTTTCCTCCCCACCAGACACCTGGGAAAGAACAGCACCCACCCCACTATTGCTGGCATCTGTATCCAAGATAAACTCCTCATCAACCCTCGGAAACGCTAAGATTGGGGAAGCTGTTAAACACTTCTTGAGTCTGGCAAAAGATCGTTCACAGTCTTCAGACCACACATAAGAAGCGCCCTTCTCCTGGAGCTTGTACAGAGGCTTGGCCACATCAGCAAATCCCCTTACGAATCGTCGATAGTAGCTGCATAGGCCCAGAAAGGACCTCAGATCTGTGACATTAGTTGGGACGGGCCAATCAGAGATAGCTGCGACCTTGAGTGGGTCAGTGGAAACTCCCTCCTGGCTGATCACGTGGCCAAGATACTTTACTTCACTCTGGAAAAGGCTACACTTCTTTGGACTTAACTTTAGTTGAGCATCTCGTAGACGGAACAGGACTGTGCGTAGCCGAGCAAGCATCTCTTCAAAGGTTTTAGCATAAACAATCACGTCGTCTAAGTAAATCAGTAGGATCTCCCATGGCAGGCCAAGTAGGATCTGTTCCATAAGACGCTCAAAGATGGCCGGCGCGTTGCACAGACCGAAGGGCATCACCTTGAACTGATACAGCCCACCCGCGCCGGTAGTGAAAGCTGTCTTGGGACGGTCCTCCTCCGCCACCTCCACTTGCCAGTATCCACTGGAGAGATCCAAGGTGGAAAACCAGCGAGATCCTACAAGGGTATCCAGGGTGTCATCGATGCGAGGAAGGGGATATGAATCYTTTATGGTAACTGCGTTAAGTTTTCGGTAGTCCAAACAGAAACGAGTGGATCCATCAGGCTTCTTGACTAATACTATTGGGGAGGCCAATGGGCTACAGGAAGGCTCGATTATTCCTCTATCTAGCATTTTGGTCACCTCTTGCTGTGCTTCCTGTCTCTTATGCAGAGGTAGACGCCTTGCTTGTTGTTTTATCGGCAGGGAATCACCAGTGTTGATTCTATGAGTGACAATGTTCGTGCGACCAATATCCTCTCGGCTTGAGGAGAAAACATCACCAAACTCCTTCAAGAGTGAGCTCACCTCTCTTTGCTGTTTCTCATCGAGTATTTTGCAGCTTCTCGTGTAAACGTCTGTTAGGTGGTCTGGGATGATTTCTAAAGAGAGGCCTCAACATCGATAGCCTTCTGCGGACACTATTACACTATATAA